ATAAAATACCAAGAGCAGGAAAAATTTATGACACTGTATCTATGTCCTCAATTGGAACAAGAACTATATCTTGGAATAGACTTCTGGCGAACATTCGAATTAGCCCCTGATGTGATAGGAGCTGCTGAAATTAATATAGAAAAAGTTTTCAGGGATATGACTGCTACGGGTCCCGACTACAAACTCAACCCTCACGAGTTAACAAATGATCAAGAGAATCGATTAAAATGCATAGTAAAAAAATTCAAGACCTTTGAAGAAAATGGGCTAGGTTGTACTAGTTTAGAAAAGCATTCGATTAAGCTCGTGGAAGGTGCGGAACCGGTTAAAGACCGCCACTATCCAATGTCTCCAGCGGTTCAAGCTATCACGTACCAAGAAGTCGATAATATGTTAGCACTTAATGTTATTGAGGAAAGTGAAAGCCCTTGGAGCAATCGTACAACTATCGTACGAAAGCCCGGAAAAAATCGTTTCTGTCTGGATGCTCGAAAGTTAAATAAGCTCACGGTCAAGGACGCATATCCCCTGCAAAACATTGAAGGAATACTAAGTCGCATTGATGAAACTCATTACATTAGCAGCGTGGATCTTAAATATGCGTTCTGGCAAATCGAATTAGACGAAGAAAGCAAGCCGTACACCGCTTTTACGGTCCCAGGCCGTCCATTGTATCAATTCCGTGTGATGCCGTTTGGATTGTGTAATGCTGCACAAAGGTTATGTCGACTGATGGACAAAGTCATTCCCCAACGACTCAAGGAGAATGTCTTTGTGTACCTGGACGACCTGTTGATTATTTCAAGTGATTTCGACGAGCATCTTCGTCTATTGAATGAAGTAGCCGATTGCCTTGACCGAGCGAATTTAACAATCGGGTTAACCAAGTCAAAATTTTGTTTTCGTCAGTTGAGATATTTGGGATTTATTATTGGAGAAGGCATGTTGCGTACTGACCCCGAAAAAGTAGAAGCAATTCGAAAAATTAGAATTCCCAAAAGTGCTAGGGAAGTGAGAAGTTTTCTGGGTACAGCAGGATGGTACCGAAGATTTATTAAAGACTTCGCGTCACTTTCAGCTCCCCTTACTGATACCCTGAAGAAATCGCCCAAATTCGTAATTACGGACAAGGCAAAGGAGGCATTTGAAAACTTAAAGAGGGCCTTAACTTCCGCACCGGTGTTACGCCACGCAGATTTTTCCAAACCCTTTTTTATTCAATGTGATGCTTCGGAATATGGCATCGGCGCTGTTCTATTTCAGCTGAATGCCGAAGGACATGAGCATCCGATCGCTTTCTATTCGAAAAAGCTCAATAAGTGTCAGAGAAATTATAGCGTGACAGAGAAGGAATGCTTGGCGGCGGTGATGGCTATCAAAACTTTCCGTCCTTACGTGGAGCTAATGGAATTCACCGTGATAACAGATCACGCTAGTTTACAATGGCTGATGAGTCTAAAGGACCTCAGTGGTCGTTTAGCTCGCTGGTCATTGCAACTTCAGGGATTTAACTTCAAAATCGAGCACCGAAAAGGAAAGGAAAATGTTGTCGCCGATATGCTATCCCGCCTACCCAATGCCGACGAAATAGACATGAATCGGGTTTTTGAATTCGAGACCACCGAGTTTGAAAGTGATTCGTACAAACAGCTTAGAGAAATTAGTGCAAATAAAAAGGAGAATCTCCCCGATCTAAAGATTGTCGACAATATGGTATTTAAAAGAGATCACAAGTCCTATAACCCAGAAACACAAGAGTTTCAGTGGAAATTGTGGGTCCCAGAGTCTTTGACCCATTCTTTAATAGAGCAAGCCCATGATAGAACGACGTCAGCTCACGGAGGCATATCAAAAACCATTTTTCGTTTAAGAGAAAAATATTACTGGCCTCTAATGGTATCCCAGGTTAGGCAATATGTGTCTAAATGTACTGTTTGCAAAGAGACAAAGCCTACCAATGAAAATACTCAGCCTCAGATCGGAAATGAAGTCGTGACAAATCTTCCCTTCCAGAAACTCTACGTTGACTTCCTCGGGAAATACCCCCGGTCTAAAAGTGGCAACGCCTTTATATTTATAGTGGTGGACCACTTTAGCAAATTTACATTTCTTAAGGCAATGAAAGAGGCAACAGCTTCCAATGTGGTAAAATTTATGGTTGAGGATATATTTCGTAAGTTTGGCGTACCCGAGACGATACATTCCGACAATGGGGCACAGTTCGTATCTAAAACTTTCAAAGACATGATTGAAACATATGGAATCAATCATATCCAAACAGCTCCATATGCTCCGCAGTCTAATGCATCTGAGAGAGTCAATCAATCAGTATTGGCGGCGATTAGGGCATATCTAGAAAATGACCACAGAGATTGGGACCTGTATCTAACAGACATAGAGTGCGCCTTAAGAACATCGATTCATACTGCAACTGGTGTAACGCCATTTTTCGCGCTGTTTGGTCATAGTATGTATACCCATGGTTCAGATTATAAATTAGCTCGGAAGCTCCACTCATTGGCGGACCATGAAATTATACATTTAGATCGTAACGACAAGATGGAACTAATCCGAAATAAAATTAGACAGAATATGCATCAGGCTTATCAACAAAGCGCAAAAAGGTATAACGCAAGGGCTCGTACGATTATTTTCTCTCCGGGGCAAGAGGTATATAAAAGAAACTATGTTCTTAGCGATTTTGGGAAAAATTTTAATGCTAAGTTTGCCCGGAAATTTACGAAGTGTCGTATAGTAAAGCCCATAGGAAATAATATGTATTCTCTCGAAGATCTAAATGGAAAGGCGATTGGAATCTGTCATGCAAAAGATCTTAAAAGATAAGTGGAAAAGAAAGTCTGTTCAATCCCCTTTCCCAATTCAATTTTTATAAAAAGAATTCTAAAATAACTTTCAAAAACTATTTCACATTTGGTACCAATTCTATATCACATTTATCAGCAATTGTTTAATTCAAAATCGAATGAATCAAAACAAAACATAGAAAATGTGTCTGATGAAACTAAATACGATAGTAAAATCACCTTCGTACTGAATTCATTCGTATTAAGGTTCAAAAATATCAGCTGATCTGTTCCCCTAATTGGGTAATTCAAAGTAATCAGACTCTAGTTTCACGTTTATCACAGCTGTCTAATTTCTTTTACAAAATATTCTACGCGACATACAAATTTGAAAAAAAAAAAAAATTTTACTCAAACACACCCGGTGGCGATAAAAATAGCACAATCTGGTTTATTCCGGCATAAATTAATGAAAGATTCCCATACATAAAAAGCGAACATACATAAAACTACATTCTACCAGACAATCACGTAGACACCACGATTATGGTATTTGTTTACCTATCAATCACATCAGCAAATACCGCATACAAAATCCGTTCTTCGGCAACCACGACGACAAGACAGGCATAGGCACAAATATTTCCGCATGCAAAATGTTTCACCACCTATTAAGGAATGAAAGTTATTAAATGTTCAAAACAAACAAAAAAGTACCGAAATACATTCCTAGGGCTATGCCCGCTTTCTGTCAAAATACTTCAAAATTGTATGCGACAAAATGTTTTGATAATTGTTGTTATTTTTTGAATGCGTTATTGAACGCACGGATTTTTTTTCAAAAATGTGATCCAAACTGTTTATTCCTTCAATTCCAGGACAAAACAGGGTAATATTTTGAACGCCGGCCACGCAGTGTTCGTTTTTCCAAACATTGACCTTGAAAATATTTTTTTTATTTTCAAAACAAATAATACACAATAATGACAGAAGTCGGGCACACTTGGGAAAAAAATTGTAATCAGCTTTCAGATCTACCTTACTTTTTTATTGTACCATGATTTCAATAATTTGATCAAATTATTTGTGTATCAAAGTACGTATAGATTCCAACTTTGAAGATTATATCCATAACCAAGAAGAATGTGTGAAATTTTGATGAAATCGGAGAATTTTTCATTTAGAGCTGTTGGGTGTTACCAGTGTGGATCCGCCAGAGAGGACAAATATATTCCAACTCCACACAAGGTCTTGGGTTGGTAGAATTATTGGGTTGTTCCGGATGTTTACCTTTTTGTAGTGAAGGTCCCAAAGGAGTGGGCCGATAAATCCCATCCGTTCCTCTGAACTTGTCTTAGTAGAAATACTGAATGCGGGATTTTATAAATAACCGAATGCGTATTGTAAAATTTATGAGCGTTTTTGATCTTCCCAAATGTTGACCTGCTATAGGGGAATTACCAGCGAGTTTCCCGGACTCGGAACTCGATCGATGTTTGGTAGTGACACGATATTTTCAGGGTGTCGGATCGAGAATTATCAGGCGAACTAGCAAGACATGTTTCACAGATCTGATGGACAGATTAGAAAAATAAATTAATTTATGTGGTTCTATTTCGATGGGGGATATTTACCAGCATGAGGGGGAGGGCTTTGACCAGCCTGCTGTTCGGAGCTTATGCCCGGCATGAGACCTTCAGGGAGTGGGATGTCCCCACGTAAATGAGTAATGCGGCCGTGCACATCACCTCCGTCCTCGATTTTGTGGCCGAAGTTGAAGTTTTGTTGCAGGCCGTTCACATTCGGCGCAAAAAGGCAACAAATATATGGGGCCGGGTTTTTTGGCAAAACCTGTCCACAACCACCGCAGAAATTATCCCAATTCTGTTGGTAGTGCATCCCATAATTGGTCCTCAAATGGATTTGCTCAGTTTTCTTGGGTTTTTAGTGAGGATGGTGAGGATGCTTCGAGATTTCAATTTGCTTGTAATTTCTGCGGGGTGTGTAGTCTGGGTGGCGATGGGATCAAAATGCCGGAAATGGTTTGATAGGGTTCGCTACGTACGAAATTAGGCTCGAACAGGGTTGAGTTAAAGAGTATTATAAAGGTAGTGAATGACAGGGTGACTCAGGCTAAGAAGTGACTAGGCAGCCCTATGATTGCTGAGTAGGTGGGAACCTACTACTACTCCGGGGTGAGCTGAAATGAGAATTCACAATAGAATAAAAAATGGCTATTGACAGTTGAAAAGAAAAAGGAATGAAAATTGAAAATGGCTCAGGAAAATGGTGTTTCGTGGAAAATGAGCGTCTGGCGGGATTCACTGAGAAGAGGGGTATAAAAGGCTGCGAGCATAAGAAAAGCCAAAGTTAAGAATAAGACGTTACCGGTGAAACTTAGCTAGAGAGCAGTGAAGAAGTGGAAAAATTTAATTTGTGTGTTGCGATTTTTTTATTGTGTAAGTAGTTTGTAACAGTGGTTTGTTGAGTAATGTGTTGTTATATGTGATGTGTGTTGCTCCAACAGGAATATTCCGGTGGTGTATCAAGCTTTTTTGGAAGCACCGAAAATTGTTCGGTTTTGGTCAGCACAACGGCGGGAAATTGCCTTTTCTTTTTGGTAACGCAAGGTAGTGGCAAGTTGTCCACAGGAGAAAAAAGCCAAAAAAAGTTACATTGAGGGTGTGGAGATTTGAATTGTAAACTGGCCAGCTGCAACTTTGAGCTTTTTGCTGTGCCTGTTATTGATCCCGCCCAGAACGCCGGCATTGTAAAAGGACCAGTCAACAAGTCCAGCTTCATTTCAGGGTTTGCCTGGCGTTCAAAATCTGTTTCCTCCGGAAAGAAGCGTAAACTGGAAGAAGAGATAAGAAGAATTAATCAATAACGTTATAAATCACTGCTCAGGTAAAAGGTGTCTTACCGTTGTGTTGTCCTTGATAGATATATTTATATATATATGTGACGTCCATAAAATTTGCTGTCTCCTTTTTTGGAACTAAAAGAAAAGAAAAAAAGAGTTAATAATCATAAATTTCGAGAAAAAAAATATAATATTCAGTATAAAGATTTAGTAATAAGATAGGTTATAGTTCTTAGGATTTAAGTAATAATCAGTTTGTAAGGGAAAAATACCGCGTTTATTTTCAAAGGCTAGGAGGTGTTACAGTAAAATTATCTTGAGTCCTTGTGATTCGATCTGATAGTTTAGGCCGTGGAATTTTAGCGGCAATTAGGCCGGTTAAGAGAGCTCTTTTAGGTGGCTAGTAATTTCGTATAGACGCGTGAATATTGCGCGGGAAAAGCAAGGCAAAGGATAATATATTGGTTTCTACCGAGTAATTAAAGCCATAGATTTAAGAAAGCCCGGTATTATTCTTAATTTGTTTTTTTTTATACCATACAGTTTGTCAATTTTAGTGTAAGAAAAAAAATAGTAGAGAAAAAAATTAAGAAAATATTTAAAGCTAACTTATTTTTTTTTAATAAAATTAAAAATGATTCTTTTGTAAACAGTAGATACTAATATGTGTTGCTAAATTTGTATAACTTGAGGGGGGAAGGTGGTATGAAGTAAGTGTGTGATTCAAAGCGTGTGGTTCAAGGGGATTCAGAGAAACGCAAGAAATGGAAATACTGGATCCAGGTAGGGTGGGCGAGTGTGGGATCGATCCACCGAGATCCCTGTATGATGACTCCTATTTTGTATATCGTAGAGTAGAGCAATTGTAGTAAAGTCCCCTTTCAATGTTAGTGTGTTGGATTCGATTGGCGGGTTGAGATCCCTAGCCCTGGGAGTCTCTGTGACAGTCGGATGGCCTAATCGTATGCCGAGCATATGCACACATAACAATGGTTGCCATACCCAAATTTTCCATTTTGATTAGATATGGAAATAATCCATCGAATGAGAACTCAAAATGCAAATTTAATTGGGACTTCGATCAGTGAAATACCGAATATGAAGAGGCACCGTAATAATGCGGACTACAAAACAGTGGAGTAGAAGTAACCTTAAATCATAGGTAACGTTATACGGGCTCTATGCGCTATCGTTAGTAATTACACTGAGCCACAGATAATCTTGGGTTTGGGAAATTTTTTCGGTTGAAAAATAAAAATCGCAAAAGAGTGGTTCCCGGATCTAACTTTTTTATAGTCCATTTTATATAGCTTACTTATACACAAAGTTACTTATACAGAAGTTACGATAAAGTTTTAAATTTGATACAGTCCTAGGGGTTACATGAGCTATCATTTGAACAAAATATGTATCAGGTTGGTCTACATTGTGATATAGACCCCCTCAAATGATATAGCCCCTTTCAAATTCCTCAAATGTTGGTAATTTGAGATTTTAGAATAAAAAACAAATTCTTTCAAATAATTAATTATTCATTATAACTCTTATGTGAAGGTATCCGGTGATTTTAGCTATTACCAGGGTCTTGGTCACATTTTTTAATTGATTTTGCCCTTATTTGGCATCTAGCTTCAGGTAGAAGACCTCTTCGCGGAAATGATTCAATGTCAATGTTTCGGAGTAGCGCTCATATAAAAGTACCTCCTGCTTTTACCTATTTCGAGGGTTTTGATTATATTTTCGAATCAATTTGACTTAAAATGTGTGTTTAGGCTACTTTGGAGGTAAACACTAAATGTATACTTTTTAATATATATGCTATATTATTTAGTTTTTTAACTATCAAACTAAAACCTCGTACTGAAAAATAGGATCAGGTTTTTTGAAAGACGTGTTTATTTAATCGAGTCATCATTTATATTGAAAAATGAGCTCGGGGTAAAGCCATTGAAATTCCAAAAAGTGCAAGAACTTACACCGCAACAGAAAGAAGATAGACGCAAAAGAGCTAAAGAGTTGCTCCGCTTCACCGGAAGTGGACAAACAAAGTTGTTGTTGTAGCAGCTCATACATCTATGTTCGTTCGGTTTCCATTTTTCTGTCTCAAAAAGGATGCAACCTGTATGGGTTGTGTCCATAACGAGACTGGAGTTAGGTGAGTAGGCTTAGCTTGGCAGCGAAATAGGTGCAGCGTGTCATGTGGGCCTGTGCCACAAGCTGGGACGGAATGCCATAATTCATGATGGGCATTGAAATCCCCTAGCACCAGACGGTTATTGCATACCAGATGTGAACTGATATAGGCATATAACGTGGGGCACAGCTATTAAACGGCAGAATGTACACGTTGAGCACTCTACTTCGGCGGTTCCACACTTGACCGCTACCCCCATACATTCCATGTTGGGTCACTAGTGTCAAGCTCAGGCGAGATAGGTCTGTACTGGACAGAGTGGTGCAATAGGAAAGCTAATCCTCCACCTCCACCCCTGGAGCGATCCTTCCTCAGTACGTTGTATCCATTACAACTTTGAAGCCTGCAGGTTGTACTCAGCTTCGTTTCCTGGATCGCTGCGACCTTGATGTTCTTCCGACTCATGAAGCTTACGATTTCGTTAGTCTTACCTCACAATTTAACTGGAGAAATGACGCATTATCCGGAACTTGAACAGCAATGTGTGGCGTCAAATGCTGCGTAAATTGCTGTTGAGGAGATTGCGGGGGAGTCTCATATTGCGACGACGATGAAGACTCACTGGGGTCTACATTGACGCAGCAGGAAGCAATGTAGTCCCTTTCGCTGTACTCCTGTATCCGGTTTAAGCCGGAACAATTCCGGAAATGCACCCACTCCATGCATCCGTTGCATCTCACCGAGACCGATCTGTGGTGGATGCGATTACGACAAACGGAGCAGAACCATGTTCCGGGGTTGGTCTCGATCCCGGCTCGGGCAAAAAGAATACGGAGCAAACATTCCGGGTAATGCTGCTCCCACATCAGAAAAATGGACGAACACAAACATGTATTTGCCGGGGTGGCGGCCCCTGGTCGGAGAATTGTACCTCCGAGTCAATCCGGTACATAGAACCGGCCGCCGTGTGATTGGACAAACAAAGTGATCGCGTTTACTTACCAAAGAGGTCAGCTGAAAATGTGCACCTTCGGTTTGCCACCAGAACTCAAGCGCCGGCCATGCTGATGGTGTGGGCCGCCATAACAGCCGATGGTCGCTCTCCGCTCGTATTAATCGACTGTGGCATCAGAATAAATGCCGAATATTATCACGAAAATATTCTGGAGGGTGTATTAAAGCCTTGAGCTCGCAAACATTTTGGCCGCAGACCTTGGACATTCCAACAGGACTCAGTACCATCGCACGCAGCATGCGCTACCCAAGAATGGTTACAAAATGAGGTTCCTCGCTTCATTTCCAGCGCACAATGACCACCAAAATCTCCTGATACCAATCCGTTGGAATATTGTGTCTAGAGTAATTATTTTGGAAAGCAAGGTTGCTACTAAAAAATACCATAGTGTCGATCACCTCAAGCAAGCGCTTCGCCAGGAATGGGCCAAAATACTGCAGAGCAACATTCGGGCAGTGTGTGATGTTTTCATTGGCCGTTTGAAGGCCATAATACGTGCCAAAGGTGACCAATTCGAACAAATCAAAACTTATTCTAAAATTTGATTTTATTTCCGACATTTTTTTGCTTTTATTCAATAAAATTTAAAAAATGTAAGAATTATGGCCTTTGACTTTGTTGCAGTTTTTTTTATCTCACCTCTATATATTTAAAGGAATTCTCTACTTTCCTGATTTTGCAAGTATTAATAATACAAAATTGATATTTTCATTTAAAATGTTTTATTCACAATTAAGGAAAAAGTAGTGTACATACATAATAATTTTTAATAAAAAAAACTCTTGAGGTTTCTTCTTTCGTATGCAATCGATACAGTATTAAACGTTGTATATACTATATTTTTGTAAGGAATAACTTCAATATATATGTGTGTATGTATATGTGGCATAACATTAGAAATAATAATAATAAAAAAGATTCCTCATACAGGAGTACATACAATTTATATAAATGTGTTTGATATGAACAATTGTAATTGATGAATATAGAAGTGAACCCTATTTATATAAATATACTTCGTGTGTAGAACAAGCAGAAGAAACATTCATGTTCGTTCTCTTTTGTAAACTCAAATTGATTTCATTTTCGTTTTGAAAAATTTCATATTTGAGGCATGCATGCACAAGAGGTTTTTCTTTTTTGTGGGGTAAATGTATGTTTTTTTTTTTAATTTTTTAATAGAATTAACAAAATTTTAAATTTTATAACAATATTGGATTTTTCTTAGAGAAGAAAATAAAAATAATAATTACATATGATAACAAAAAAATTAAAGTTTCTAACAATTTTTATAAAATGTTTAAAGTCTTTTTTTAAAGTGCTGTGTTTCGCAAATAATATTTGGAATTTCTACAACCGTTATATATTTATGTGTGTGTGAAAGGCAAACAGAAATCAAATTAATATAATTATCTTTCTTTTTTTAATAAATAGAAAACAAAAATATACAAATTGTTTAAAAGGGCCAAATGTGCTAACAAAAAAATTCAAGGGGATTGTGGGGATATTTTTTGAGCAATATATATACGCATGCATCTTGATGTTAGTGTGGGTTTTTAAGGTATTATTGTTGTATTCAAATACATAATTTGTTTCTTATAAGGCAATTATTACTCTTCCTATAGATGATGAATATTTAGATGTTTTCTTTTAAATACTCTCAAACTAGGATAACTATATACTAGCCTACTACAATATTTGTTGCTGTGTGTAATAACATTATTAAAATTACTTTCTCTAATAGCTAAGTAAACAATTTCAAATGGATATATATTGTGTATTGATGTATGTATGCTTGTATGTATGTTTGTTAATATGTTCTGATGAAACACGACGATTTGATTTCTTTTTCAAATTTCCATTCAATACAAAATTTTGTAGAGTACCACTTATTT